GCCATGGTCGAAACTCAGTGTAGCTGTTGTCCAGGGCCTGCCATGCTCTCAATAACTGACCCACATTAATAAAAGATCTGAAGGCCTTTCCACAGTGAGTGTGATTGCAGTGGTGATGTGAGGGGGTATAGAATTTTTAGTATTTATTTTGGATAGGGAGACCGGCTGTGAGCCAGCACAGGAAGTTACATGCACATATTGAGTGTCTGGCTCCAGCTCAGACTTCTCAGTTCTCAGCTACAGGACTTTAGGAAAGCTGACACTGCTGAGCACAGTGAAGTGAGGGGCTGAGACCTGGACTTATGATAAAGTGATGGATACTGAGCACAGTGCACCCAGGTCCTGCATTCTTCATAAGCTAATGACAACTTTAGATGTAGCAAGGTCCCTGCATGTTTTGAAAATGAAAACTCAGTACTTGAGTTACAGCAGGGGTTAATGAATACTAAATAGTCCTATCTTAATAGGACCCATGGATAAACTATATGATCAGTAGAACGAAATAAACAAAGTTTAATTCTCCTAATCATTGAATTAGAACATCTTAAAAACTAATAATGAGATAACTGGGGAAGAGTGAGTTCAGTAGATCATTTGAGTGTGTCCTATCACAGAAATCATCCAATGACCCTAAGTATACAGACAATGTAAAAACAACATGACAAGAATAAATTGCCATTTTATCGTCTGATTTTCTTTTTTCTTTTTTTTGCTGCAACAGATGTTATTATGCTTGTATTTTCTAACTCTGTGGACACTGCCCCACAAGTGCTGGTTATTTTTACTTTTCGCTTTTTTTTTTTTTGCCAAATTTAATTTCACTGAAGAGTCATTAATGGTTTGAAGGATCACCAAGGACATTTTTGTTTGTTCACTTAATTGTTCCCTGTGCACTTAAGCAGAGGAAACCAATAGAGCACATGCCATTTCTACTAATGAATATTTATAGAGCATCCCTTTCTTTGCACACTGAGGTAAGACCATCCTCACCCCAACAGCCATGGGGAGTTGCTAGCAGTTATTTGCCCTTGACCAGTCTTCCAGTCACAGAATTCAGGGAAATATTATTTAATAGCTTAATGTGAGAAAGGAGCTCTCATGAGCCTCCATGTAGACGTGGTGATGAGAAGAGCAAAGGGTGCCCCTCTCGGTGCCATTGCACATCCCCCTGCATTTGCAGGCACTCTGCCTGGAAGAGTATGGGGGGCTTGGAAGTATGACAAAGTTAACCCAAAATTATAGCCAGTAGCAACCAATGTTTTTCAGACCCAATACGGAAATTTGGGTTAAATTTCATAAAGTGATGGAGAACCACCACAAAGTAAGTATGATTGAACCCTTTGTCATTTATGTGCCTAAAGGTTTGGGAATTGGAACAATGGAAATGGTGTAAATGCAGTCCTGTCTCAGAGTAAGAACAATGAGGTTAGGTTTTTCTGCTATAAAATCTGAGTGTAAGAAGTTTCTTCATGTTCAGACAGGATTTGGAAAGTAATATCTGAATTGCCACCTTGTTCTATATAACATGACAGTGAGTCTGAACATGACTCTTGAGCAGTGCTCTTGGAATGGATCAGAATTAAGGATAAGACCAGCTATGTACATGCTTGGAGAGTGTAGTCCCTGCCATGTTATAATGGTACAATGAAAGGGGCCAAAAAACATATATAAAAACATATGTCTTCCTTTTTATAGACTCTTAGAATATGAGGGTTAGAAATAACTTTAGACAGCGAGCTACCCATTTAAAACATGCTGCTAAACGGTTAACTGGTCCTTGAACATATCCAGCCCATCCACTGGGCTGCCTCACACCTAAAGGAGTCCGTAGTAGTATTGCCATGTTCATTACGTTAGAATGCATTCTGTTTTTTGAGTCTCTCATATTATTATTCTTTTTACTGGTGTGTTCAGCCAAATCAGTAACATAAACAGTGAATAACTACGTATCTGTTATTAATTTAAAACCTTGTAGATCAGGGAAACATAGAGACGACTGATGATTTGGCAGTGAAGTGACCATTTAGAATAAAGTGATATAACCTCTTATAAAAAAACATCAATGAAAAAACTATCAGGATTAGCTTCCCATTAAAATATATTTAAAATAGTATCCATAATAATAATGCTTAAAACTCCAATGTTTTGGGCAACAGAAGTTTTTACTTACCAATGATAGGAGTATCCACTAGGGCACATTTTTTCAGGGACTACTTTGACAATACGTATGGGAAGTCCTTATTCAATATTTATTTTTGATTAGTTACTAAATGAGAAATTAATATGATGAAGACAAAAAATTTTACATACAAAAATGCCCACTAAGATATTATTATGTAACAAATGGAAGCAACCATAATGGTCACTATAAGAACTACAAAATGTATCATTTTATTCCTTCCAAGTTGGGATATGATGAGCAAGTAGTACTGTTTTTTAGGAATATTTAATAACATGAGGAAAATATAAAATAAATGCTTTAAAAATAATGAAATAAGTGAGGTTAAGTGAGGAAAATATCAAATGTTATGTATAACATTACTTTAAAAAAAGCAAATAACTACATACATATCTTCAAACAGGTTGTAAATTAGTATAAGGTAGTAATAATGATGGACTGCTGTTATTTGATTATAGGAGATTTTCCATTCTTATAATTTTCTATTTGTTCTACATGTACAGAGTAAATATGTATTCATAATGGAGAATCAAGTAGTTATTTTCCTTAAAGGGAAAAATAATAAATAGCAATTCTCCAGAATTTAAAATTATCCTTAATATCAGGAATTTAAATATTTGTGACCTAAAGCTCTAGTATGAAATACATTTTCTTTGTACTAAAATTTTTTTTCTCCAAGTTACCATTCAATCAATGATGTGAACTTATTTGCAAATCTCAGTACAGCCATTTCTTCTGAATTGAGGATACAAGATCATGTATTTTTGTGATATGCAATGGTGTATCATCCAGTGATAAAGCCTGGGGTCAGGGTATGGGCCATCACGAAGGTGTTGGCTTATGTAGGAAGAGGGAGCTAAAGTGAAGAACATAAAAGGCACTAACTGGAAAGACGTGTGGCTGTTCTCCAAAAACCCTCAAGTCTTAGTGTAGGAAAGTAATTTATGCATGATCATGCATTATTTATTTTGTAACGCTCAGGCAAACTCATAATCCCATAGCACAGACCAGCAGCATTTTCTTATGAAACTGCTCATTAACCCTCTCACACTGTGACAGCTCTCTTCAATAGAAAAGAATTTATGCCTTCCCAAGTCCAGAGGGAAACAGCACATAAGGCATTTTGTAGGAATATCTCAAAGTATCATATAAAAATATTCATATTACAAAATACGCATGTCTTTGGGGAGATGTCAGCCTAGTTGCCTAGTGAATAAACCCAGATGCTCCAGAGATACTGTTTGTGATTAGGAAACATTTGAAAAACTAACATTTTCACTAATTCATGATTATAAGAATTGATTAAGGATGAGCAATTGCCCCAAATCCTAAAATTATACCTTAAACTTTAGGTTGAAATTGACCTGGAACAAATGCCAGCTCTGACACTTCTTACAAGTACAACATTGCCCCAATCATTGGGAAGGTAAGTGAATAGGAAGAAAAGACAAGAAATGAAAAAATACTCAGTGGTTTCCTGGAAGGTGGTAAAATGGCTTCTTTGACATGATCCTCAAAAGGAGCCACATGGAGAGGTGGTCCTGTAAGGAAACTCACAAGGATAGACTGTGATTTTTCAGCTTTTAAGAATATCCACACCAAATAGCCCTTTTTACTTCTGTTCCATGTCATATTTAATCCTTGTTAAGTATTAATGCCTGATAATAACTGTTGGGCCCAGTCTGGTCTATCCTTGGGCCAGAGCACTGAGGAGCAAAGAGGTGCCCTGAAGCAGTGACAGAGGCAGCGATGGTGAGGGACATCCCCATGCACAAAGTGAGTCCCACAGAAAGGAATCACGGCAAAGGAGACAACACTTTCCCCAAGTGGTATTCACCTTTGTCAGTCCATCTTGGAGGATACAGAATTTTTATTAATAGAGCTAGCAAGTAGCTTTGGAAGGCACTTGGGAGATGAAGTATCTTTACCTATATCACAGGACCTAAGGATCAGGGAAGCCTAAGGAGAGTATATGGTTCTCCCTAGGAACACCATCAGAACACACCATTTGTCAGAATCTGGGAGGGCTTGTGCTGTGGAATGTTAGAAAACACAATGAAATTGAAACAGGAATTCAGGAAAGGAAGCAAAGCAGATGTTTTTCAAACTGATATGTGGGAGGGACACATACCTGAATAATTCATCATATTAACATAAAAGGATACCAAAGAAGAAATCCTGGAGATGCATGGGACACAGGAAATTCACAGTAACTCTGTGGTACTGCTCCCAGGCCACCCAAACAGTAAAGGCTCCTTTAGGATATTGAGGAGATTAAGGAGTTATTTGCAGAGAACAAGTGTTGCAAAACATGGAATATAATACAACTAAGTCTTGGCGGTATTATATTGCTGAGGGTGTGAGAATGATTTACTGATACGCTGTTCTGACAGATGAGAAAATAAAATTTTTATACAGATATTTTCCTACTTATTAACATTTATGGATCTCCTACTCTACACTGAGGAGTCGAGATACCATGACAGCTGCCCTAATCTCAGGGGACAGTGATATGCTTGTGGCATTTTCTATATATTTCAAAATTTTCCCTGTAACTAGTGAAAATGAAACATCAGATGGATATTTTGTATGAAACAAACTGTGAAGACAAAGGTAAAGCAGAGCCCAGGGAAATGCAAAAAACGCAGTCACTTCTACATCAGATTATGGATGATGCAGTAAAGGTAAAAAATGTGCTTCTCCTGACTTGCTTGGCTCCTTTCCTCTATGCAGCTTATTGAATATTATTTTTACATCCTATTCCTCAGGTTCAGAGTTTATGATTTATTAATAGAGACTCATTACATATCTGAAGACGGTGATGAAAAATCATTCTGCAATAACATTCATTCTACTTGGATTAACAGATGACCCACATCTACAGGTTTTTCTTTCAGTATTTCTGTTTCTCACCTACATTTTCACTGTTGCTGGAAATCTCATCATTGTGCTCACTCTGGTGGACTTTCACCTTAAAACACCCATGTACTTTTTCCTTCGGAATTTCTCCATCTTAGAAATAGTACTTACAACTGTCTGTGTTCTTCGATTCCTGTATAGCATGACAACTGGGGACAGAAGGGTTACCTTTAACGCTTGTGCTGTCCAATTATATTTTTTCATCCTAACTGGGGCAGGAGAATTTTTTCTCCTAACTGCCATGTCCTATGACCGCTACGTGGCCATCTGCAAGCCCCTGCACTACACCACCATCATGAGTGACAGCGTTTGCACCATTCTTGTCCTTTTGTGTTGGCTGATTGGGTTAATTGTCATACTCCCCCCACTTAGCCTAGGAGTTCAGCTGGATTTCTGTAACTCCTATCTCGTTGACCACTTTGCCTGTGATGCATCTCCTCTTCTGAAGATTATATGCTCAGACACTCAATTTATAGAGCAGCTTGCCCTCGTCATGGCTGTGCTGACCCTCATTTTCACATTAGTCTGTGTAGCTGTGTCCTACACATACATCATCAAGACTATTTTAAGACTCCCTTCAGCTCAGCAAAGAAAAAAAGCTTTCTCCACCTGTTCTTCCCACGTGATTGTAGTTTCCATCACCTATGGAAGTTGCATCTTCATCTACATCAAACCAGCAAAGGAATGTGTGGCCATGAATAAGGTGGTGTCATTGCTCAACACGTCAGTCATCCCTCTGATGAACCCTTTCATTTATACTCTGCGGAACAAGCAAGTCAAGCAAGCCTTCAAGGACTCAATAAAAAAGATGGCCTTTCTTTCAAAGAATTAGGAAACTAAGAATTCTTTAAAAGTTAAAAACATATACATATAAATATTTTATCCAATAGTAGTACATCAACAATTCAAGTCGACACTACAATACTGAAATTACAGTCTGCTTAACCATCAAAATTTATTTTCTATTACTCTTAGAATCACAGACTTAAATAAGCATTATAGTCTTAATTCAAATAAAAATTCTTTTATAGTGGTTCCCTTTCCTAATTGAGCATGAATATACACTTTCATAAAGTCCGAACAACACCTCATCATTATGTCTAAAATACAAATAGACAGTAAAAATTTAGGCTGTATTTTAGTCCACTCATTTCTTTAAATTAATAGATTGTCTGGGGCAGAAATTATTTGTCTCAGTTTTCCTTCCTGGTCAAGCATCAACTGTCTTAAGGAGAACGTAAGTGTAATTTGTAATGTTTTGTTATTCAAACCACCATCTACAGACTAAGGAGAAACTATTGAATTACACTAACTTGCTATTAAAGTGGAATTTTTCATAGTGTTCTCATTTTTGTATTTTTGGCATTACAGTCCTTTACTTTTTTCCAGTTTTATTGAAATATAATTGACATATTATATAAGTCTAAGGTACAGAACATAATTATTTAATGTACATGTATATTGGGAAATCATTACCACATTGTTTAATTAATATCCATCACCTCACATAGTTACAATTTTTTTCTAATGATAAATTTTTTAAGATCTACTTTATTAGCAGTTTCAATTAAACAATAGAGTGTTCATAACTATACTCAACATGTGAACATTACATCTCTGGAACTTATTCATCTTATAACTGAATGTTTACATCTTATGACAACCTTTACCCATTTCCCACACCCCACCTCCTGATTCTGCCAAACATCAATCTGTTCTCTGTTCCTATGTGTTTGACATTTTTAGATTCCACATACAAGTGATATACTACTTATCTTTTTATCTGACTTCTGTCAATTATGATAGTGCCCTCAATGTCCATCCATATTTTCAAAAATAGCAGGATTTCCCTCTTTTCTTAAACCTGAATAATATTTTTTGCACATCAGTAAATTTAACCCAGTTCAATGTTACTTCTCATCTTACCCTGATTCCAGAACTGTTATGACCCATTCCCATAGATATTCCTCAGGTTTCTGTTGGTATAAATTAGCTGTCTTAAAATCCTTTTGGTGTCTGTGGAACCTCCTTCCCGCTCATACTGTGCACCTGATGCCCTGATGACTCTGGTTACTGGACTCTAAGCAAGGAGATAATGTGGGGGTGGGTCTTCAACAGGTTCAGCATTCTCCTGCAAGAAAACTGCCTCCAAGTAGGTTCTTCAGGCAAGAAGAGATCAAACCCTTGAGACAGGGTATAGGTGTGTGCTTCTCTGGAACTTCAATGGAATCTACACACTCATTGTGTCCTCCAGCAAACTCTAGAGGTTGTAAATTCAATTTGCATTGAAATTAATTTATTCAACAAACTAAACTTGAGTTGCTTTCAAGAAGTCCTGTAGGAGGTGCAGGAGACACTGGCTTCTTTTAAGGAAGTCATAGTTTTTTGACATCTTTCATACCTTGAGATAGGAATTTAAGACCCTAAGATAATCATGTTTCTTTCTCCAAGGTCACCAGAAAATCAGAAATAACCAACAAAAGTTACACTTCTTATTTTCCTCATTTTCTGCTAAAACGTTCCATAAAAGTGTGGCCACTTGGTAAAAGCAAACCACAAGGGCAGCACACTTTCAAGGGCCAATAAACCCATCTCCTCCCAGGAGGGCTGCACACCATGACGGATATTTCTGAAAATTAACACTTACTATGTGCTGGACTCATGTCTAAGCCAGACTGCAGGATCTCAGATGGCACCTCATCTCCTGAAGGCCTTCCCTGCTATTCCGCCCGCCAACACCCACCCCCAAATGATAACCAATCCTTTAAGGCAGCAGAGAGCGCTACTCATTTCACACGGTGAGGAAACAAGCATACATGCTGTTGAACAAATGACTTTGAGGGGAAGACAAAAATTAATCTTAACCAAAAAAAAGAAATTTTATAGGAATATGTAGAATAATCAATACAGCAGCAAGTGAAGATTATTAGTCATTCTAGATATTAAAAAACATAGAACTTTCAAAAAGGTTTTAATATGAGGAAAAGAGCCTAGGAAGATAGGCTCAACCTGAAATGGAGTCACAGGGAGAATATGTGGCCCCTTAACTTAAAACAGTAAAAATTCAAGCAAAATATACGAAACTAACATTTTCCAAATATCTGACATCAAGCAGTGAACGACAGTGATACCTGAGCGAGGATTACCTCAGTTTGCTTCCTGGAGGCAGTACAGGCAGGGGCTCATAGAGATCCCATCAGTCTGCCAGCGTGCAGGAAGCATAGGGGACAGTCTAGGGAGGCTGAAGTTCACAGGAACGAGCGCTGAGATGTGGGAGAGGCACGGAGGGAGACGTCTGGTGACCTACAGGCACCCCACCTTGAGCATTCAGCTGAGCATACACATGTAGGGAAATTACCTACAGTAAGATTCACCAGCAAAGATGGTTCCTATTCTCACCAAACAGAATTTAAAATCTCATAATTTACTAAGTATAATTCATAAAGATGTGTCTCAGTTTTGAGGAAAGAAATCTAGGCTAAACACTGCTCTGGTCCAGTGTAACATAGACTAACAGAAACTAAAAGGATAAACTTGTCTCCAAGTGATGTAAATGATGCCAGAAGAAGCCTAAAGAACCTTTACAGGGATAGAAATACATCTGACCTTCAAGAAGGTAAATTCATAGTGCCTGACATAATGAAAATTCACCACATGTGAGAAGAAGCAGGAAAATACAACCTTTAATGAGGGGATAAATACAAAGAGACTCCAAAATGGCAGAGTTGATAACATTACATAAAATATAGCTAAGAATGATCAGTTTTTTTTTAAAAAAAAGTGATCCTAATATGAAGTATGTTACCTGACCAAACGGAATTAAATTAGAAATCAATAACAAATTTTCCTAGAAACACCCATTATTAGAAGACAAATAGCAAAGTTTGTGGGATGCAGCTAAACCATTATTTACAGGGGAATTTATGGCTTTGTAGCAATAATTTATTAAAATCACTGTAACATGCATCATTAGCCATAAACTTAGTCACACAACCATGCCAGTTATAAGGGTGACTGGGTACAGTATTTTATCCAGGCACTGTGCACCCTGAATAAAATTGTGGTTCAGTTGCTATGGATCAGGGAAGAAACACACCAGACAGGAAATTACCAGTCCCTGCCACACCCCATCAGGATGTCCTTCAAAAATTTACTGTGAGTACAGAGACATAAGTCCTTCCTTCCCAGCACACTCCCCCTGCCAGGGAAAATTTTCAATCACTCTGCCAACAGTGCGGTGACAGAGAGGTGATGTGACTTGGCCAGTCTGCGCGACAAACCTCAGCAGAGGAGTAGTGAGTGGACTGAGTAAAGGGACAGCAGAGACACCTGTTCCAGTCGAGGCAGCAGGAACACACCTCTGCTCCCTCATTTGACACAAGGAGCAGCATGAGTGCAAGAGTGAAAACTGTGCAGTTATAACAGAAGGGATAGTGAAAAAAAGCTTAGTTCAAGTTCACTGGGCAGTAATCGGCCCTAACAAAACAATAAACTTGTCCTGGCTTCAGACAATGGTTTATCCAGTGCTTCAGATGCAAAACTCTCCTTTGCTTCAAATACTGAAAGTAGGTTGTTTAATTGCCTACCTGAAAACTCATAGGTAGAAGGAGAGAGGATGAAAATGAATAACAGGTAGCCCTAGAAGAGTTAGAAAGTTTCATACATGGTTAGTGTCCTGAATATAGGGACAAGCACCACCTTTTGTTCAACCTGCACCGCCACAGGCAGGGCATCCTGAACTTCATTTCTCTGCTCCTCAGTTTCCTCATCTGCAAAAGGAGGATAGTTTTTGAAGGGCCCTCACCTGTATGATGGCGAACTTCCTGCTTCTCTTCCGGCTCCTCGGTTCCCACCAGCGCCACCTGAAGCCCAATCACCTCTCTCCCACTCGCAATCCCAGCACCTAGCCAATAGCCACCAGCCCCGTAGAAGTAACACCACAATCACCCCATGCCCTTTCCTATATAACCCAGCACCTTTCCCTAATAAAGCGGAATTCTCCAGTGAATTTCTGCTGTATGTCGCCCCTTCCTTTCATTGGTGCCGAAACCCGGGAGACGGGACACCCCAACTGGGCCCCGTCTTCCCCCCTGACACCAGCAGCAGCTTGCCCTTGTCCTCTTTTTCCGGCGCTGGCTCCTCACACTCACTACTCCTCTTTGGCCTTTGACTAAGTTTTCCCCCGGAGCGGGCCGCTCTCCCCCGAGCTATCGCAGCACCATTGACCGTGATTGTCCGGCAAGTCCCTGACGCTTGGGGACGAGGAGGGAACTCTCCCCGCCTCAGGCCTTCACGTCTGTGGCAGACCCTCAGGCCCCTCCTCCAACAGCCATAAATGAGGTGACTCCTTTGCGGATGGGAACGCTCCCTCTTTCCCTCCTCCTCCTTCCGTTCCGTCCGCCGAAAATTCCTAGTCCTAGGTACCTTGTGACTCCAGCACTCTGCCTTCTTAGAGAAGTTGGGTGATGACCCACACTTCCTAAGAAATTCTGACTCGTATATGAGTTTCTGCAGACCACCAAGGATCATCGGGGACACCCTTTGTCTCCTTGTGGTCTGCTCCCAGTCCGAGGATCTCTGTTCGTCTTCCCCTGTTTGTCTCCTTCTCTGTCCTTTAGCCATGGGAGCCTCCTTATCCCTCCCTGAAAGTTCACCTCTTGAATGCCTGCTTAAACATCTGGCTACCCTCTCCCTGATGCCTGATATAAAACCAAAACTTCTCTGTAAATACTGCTCCCAAGATTGGCTGATATACCCCCTAGACAATAACAACCAATGGCCCGCGGGGGGAACTCTTGATCCTAACATCACTCGCGATCTTTTTAACTACTG